AAGAGAAGAGAAATGCACATCAAATAGTTGCTGGGTGAGAGATATGTCACAATGCCCTGTGTTGGCAGAGTCTAGTAAGAAGACACCTCATTTTGATGCTAAGAAATATGTCACAATGCCTTCAAGGTAAGGTCCAAGGCAAAAGTGTCACATCACCTTTATTCTGAGCATGGCAATAAGTAAAAAATCCCCCTTAGGGCAGAACCAAAGAAGAGAAAAGCATCAGATTAGCTAGGTGCAGGCCTCCTAAGTGAGCAAAAAGCAGGCAGGGACAGGGAGTCTGAACACCTGATTAATGAGTGCAGAGATATGTCACAATACCCCCTGTAGAAAGAGCCTGGCAGAAGGGTGACATCACCGGGGCATTGGACACTGCAGTATGTCAAAATGGTCCATGTGGGCAGGGCACAGGCCAAAGAGTCACATCCCCTGGGTGCGGGGGCCAAGCAGCATGTCACGGATGTCCTCTCTGTGGGCAGCTCCAGGCGGAAGCAGAGATCACATCCCCGAAGTGTGGGGCCCAGAGAAATGTTACACTTTCATCAGTGGGCATGGCCTAGGAAGGGAAGTCAAATCAGTCAGATACGAGGCACAGGCCTGTGTCAGAATCGCACCTGTGGGAAGCTCCAGGGATGAGATGGACAATCCCACACGCGTTCCAGCTTTAGGTATGAGGGTCAACACCTTGTGTGTGATTGGTCTAAGTACATGGAATTGAGACTCTCAATTCCTCCGGCACACTGTGTCACAGCCTCACAGGTGTGCTGAATCTTGGTCTGAGGGTCACCGACTCATGTGTATCAAATCCACATATGAGAGTCAGTTCTCAGCTGGACATGGTGGCTCATGCCTACAATCCAAGCACTCCAGGAGGCCAAGGTGGGTGGATTATTTGAGGCCAGGAGTTTGAGGCCAGAGTGGCCAACATGGTAAACCTTCACCTCTACTAAAAATACAAAAATCAGCCAGGTGTGGTAGTGTATGCTTGTAATCACAGCTACTCAAGTTGCTGAGGCACAAGAGCCACTTGACTCTGGGAGGCAGAGGTTGCGCTGAGCTGAGATCGGGCCAACACACTCTAGCCTGGATGACAGAGCAAGACTCTCTCTTAAAGAGAGAGAGAGAGAGAGAGAGAGAGAGAGAGAGAGAGAGAGAGAGAGAGAGAGAGAGAGTCAGTTCTCTAGATTATGGCTGTTTCTGGGTGGAAGATTCAGAACCTCAAAAGTGGGCTGTTCCTGTGGAAGGGTGCCAATTTTTGCTCCAGGCTGGTTGCACATGAGTGTCAGAATGTCAGCTGTGTGCTGAGCTCTGTGAGAACACTGCCTTTACCACCCAAGGGCTTTACACAGAATGCATGAGAGCTGCAGTTGGGTTTGAGATCTTTGCACTGGCCCCATGATCATACCTGTGGCTCTGAGCCCACGTTTAACAGTAAATATTTCTCCAATTGGCTAGTCTCTTGTTTTTCTTTTTCTGAGATGATGTCTCACTGTATCCCCCAGGCTGCAGTGCATCTCAACTCACTGCCACCTCCACCTCCTGGATTCAAGCAACTCTCCCGCCTCATCCTCCCGAGTAGCTGGGATTCAGGCACATGCCAACCACGCCCAGATAATTTTTGTATTTTTAGTAGAGATGGGTTTTTACTGTGTTGACCTGGCTGGTCTCGAATGCTTGACCTCAGGTGATCCATCCACCTTGGCCTCCCAAAGTGCTGGGATTACAAGCCTGAGCCACAGCACCTGGCCCAATTGGTTAGTTTCTGATAAACGAGTTCACACTTACCTACGACCTGGGTTTAAAATTGAGTCACCATTTCAACTGTGGCTGGATATTTACACGTGAGAGTCGAAATCCCAGCTGCGTACTGCATCTATGTGTGAGATTCAGTTCTTACCCAGTTTGTTCTTTTCAAGTGTGAGAGTGACAGTCCTAACAGTCGGCTGGGTGTGCATACAAAAAAGACAATCTTGCCTGTGTGCTTGGCCCCGTGATGGCTCTCTATATCGCTGAAACGCATTATGTGACATGTGAGAGTGGTAATCCCCTATAACTTCTATATAAAGAGGAGACCCGGGGTCTTACGTGTTACACTAACCCTCAGTATAAGAGATAGCATTGGCCAGGTGCGGTGGCTCACGCCTGTAATCTCAGCACTTTGGGAGGCTGAGGCGGGTGGATCATGAGGTCAAGAGATCGAGACCATCCTGGTCAACATGGTGAAACCCCGTCTCTACTAAAAATACAAAAATTAGCTGGACATGGTGGTGCGTGCCTATAATCCCAGCTACTCAGGAGGCTGAGGCAGGAGAATTGCTTGAACCCAGAAGGCAGAGGTTGCAGTGAGCTGAGATTGTGCCATTGCACTCCAGCCTGGGTAACAACAGTGAAACTGCGTCTCAAAAAAAAAAAAAAAAAAAAAGAGACAGCATTGCTCATCTTGGCCGGCTCAAGGAACAAAATTTGTTATCACACCTCTGAGCTTGGATGAGACATATGTTAGAAACCCAGCTGTGGGTAGAGAGCAAGCAGGAGAGCAACTTTACCTGGGTGCTGGGAAAAAGACATGTTCCAATATTGGAACATATTGGAGAGTCACATCACCTGGGTGTCAGGCCAGGGATTTACATGTCACAATCCCTTCTGGAAGTCAGGCCGAGAAAGCAGAGTCACAATACCTGCGTGCTGGGCCTATACGCTCCCTGTAGGCAGCACCTAGGGAGGAAAGACACATCATCTCAATGGTGGACCCGGCGATATGTCACAATATTTCTTGTGGGCAGGATGCAGGCAGAGCAGGAGAGTCACATCTCAGTTACAGATGCAGGGACACTTTATAACACCGCCTGTGGGCAGGGCCAAGGCAGGAGTCTTAAATCAGCCATATGTTTCAATACCCAATACGTGCAAGATGCAGGTTCTACAGTTCACAATACCTAGGAACTGGGTCAAGTGAGATGCTCCAATCCCTTTTCAATTTTTTTTGTCATGCCCAGGCAGAAGAAAAGTCACATCCCCTAGGCAATAAACAAAATAATATGTCATAACAGCATTGTGGGCAGGGCCCGGGGAGAAGAGTTGCATCACCTGGGTTTGATCCCAGCCGTACGTCACGATATAAAATGTATGCAGGGTCCAGGCAGGAGGGGAGAGTCACATCACCTAGCCTCTTGGCCCAGTGATGCATCACAGTCCCTTCTTGGGCACAGCCCAAGCAGTAGAAGAGAGTCACATCATCACCTAGGAGCTGGGTCCAGCAATATGTCTGAGTCCTCCCTAAGGGAGGGCCCAGGGAGAAGAGTCACATCATCACCTAGGTGAGAAGTTCAGAGGTATATCACAGTGCTTCCTGCATTCAGGCTAAGGAATAAGAGAAAGAAACTCAGAAAGCCTATGGGATAGACCAAGTTATATTTCACGGTCACCCTAGGGAGCATGGCTGAGGCCTGAGTGGACAGTCACGATGTAGGTGTTGAGCCAAGTGATTTGTCACAATGAGCCCTGGGAATAGGCGCCAGGCAGGAGAAACAAGTCAGATCACCGGGGTGATGGATGCAGAGATATGTTACAATAGGCCCTGGGGGCAGGTCCCAGGCAAGAGAGGACTATCACTTCGGTATTGGGTTCAGAAATATGTCACAATGCCTTATGTAAGCAAGGCACGAGCAGGAGAGTCTGGAAACCTGAATGTGAGGCCTGGCAATATTTTATAATTTCCACCGAAGAAAAAGCGACTCACCTAATCTAGGTTTTGGGCCCAGAGCTGTATCACCATTACCTTTATTGGCAAGGACCAGGTGGTTTGCTAGGTCTCATCTCCAAGGAGACGAACATGCCTCTGTGCATGACCCAGGCAAGAGAGGACCATCACATTACCTAGGTACTGGGACCAGAGGTATGTCACCATATTTCTTTTCTTTCCTTTATTTTTTTGAGATGGAGTCTCACTCTGTCACCCAGGCTGGAGTGCAGTAGTGCCATCTCGGCTCACTGCAACCTCTGCCTCCCAGGCTCAAGTGATTCTCCTGCCTCAGTCTCCTGAGTAGCTGGGACTACAGGCGTGTGCCACCACGCCTGGCTAATTTTTGTATTTTTAGTAGAGACGGGGTTTCACCATGTTGGCCAGGATGGTCTCAATCTCCTGGCCTTGTGATCCACCTACCTCAGCCTCCCAAAGTTCTGGGATTACAGGTGTGAGCCACTGTGCCTGGCCACCACCATACTTCTTAATGGCAAAGATGTGGTAAGCAGGGAGAGTCAAATAGTTGATGGGCCCAGAGATATGCCACGATGCCCCTATGTGGGTGGGGTTCAAACACGAGACACACATCTCCTTGGTGCTGGAAACAGCAACATGTTACAATGCCTTCTGAGGACAATGCTTAGGAAAAAGAGTAACATTACCATCGTGTTGGGCCCAGCAATAGGTCACAATCTCCTCTGTAAGACCAGGCAGGGGAAGAGGGTCACATTGCCTGAGTGCCAGGTAGAGATATAACATGACGCCCCCATTACGCAGGGCTGAGGCAGGAGAGTCCCATCATTTGGGTGTTGAACGTAGCAATATGTCACAATTTTTTTTTTTTTTTTTGAGACAAAGCGTTACTCTTTTGCTCAGGCTGGAGAGCAGTGGCACAATCTCGACTCACTGCAACATCTGCCTCCCGGATTCAGGCAATTCTGCCTCAGCCTCCAGAGTAGCTGGGATCACAGGCCTGTGCCACCACGCCCAGCTAATTTTTGTATTTTTAGTAAAGATGAGGTTTCGTGTTGGCAAGAGCGGTCTCAAACTCCTGACCTTGTGATCCACCTGCGTTGGCCTCCCAAAGTGCTGGGATTACAGGCGTGAACCACCACGCCCAGTCAATATTTCACAATTATTCATGGAGACAGGGAACAGGCAGAAGTTATCTATTACATAGATGTAGAACACAGCAATATGTCACAATGCCCCTGTTGGCAGCGCCAAAGCGGCGGAGTCAGGGGAGCTCACGCCTATAATCCCAGAACTTTGGGAGGCTGAGGTAGGTGGATCACAAGGCCAGGAGATTGAGACCATCCTGGCCAACATGGTGAAACCCCGTCTCTACTAAATTTGAGTCAAGGCCCAGTGATATAACAAAGTGCCCATGCGGGCAATGCCCAGGCAGGAGAATAATGTCACATCGCATAGGTTCTGGGTTAAGTGATATGTCGCCATTCCACCTGTTGGCCGTGCCCAGGTAGGAAAGTCAAATCGCTCAGGTACTGGGCAAAGAAATATTTTACAATCACACCTGCATAAACGTCCCGGGAGAAAATTAACAATTTTGCACACGTCCCGGTTCTAGGTATTAGAGTCAGCACCTCCTGTATGTTGGGTGTAAGTACATGAGACGTGAGTCACAGTCTCAACAGGGGCCTGGATCTGTGCTTGGAGCCACGATCCCTCAAGTCCACCGCATATTCTTCACAGAGTCACAGCCTCACAGGCATGCTGAATCTTGGTCGGAGAGTCACCAGCCCACCTGTGGACCAGATCCACGTACGGGAGTCAATTTTCCAACCTTTGACTGCCCCCAGGTATGCGATTCAGGACCCCAACCTAGGCTGTGTTTATGTGGTTGAAGGACAATCTTAATTGTTGGCTGGGTATGCATACAAATGTCACAATTTCACTTGTGTGCTGGGCCCTGTAAAGACCCTCTCTGTTTTACTGAGGGTATCAGGCAGTATGCATGATAGCGGCAATCTGTCTCAATGCTCTATGTTTTTAACATGTTTATAACTGTATCTGGGCTTATAACTGATGCTCTACGTTTATAACATGTTTATAACCGTATCCGGGCTTATAACCGAAGCTCCGTGTTTATAACATGTTTATAACCGTATCCGGGCTTATAACCGAAGCTCCGTGTTTATAACATGTTTATAACCATATCTGGGCTTATAACCGATGCTCTACGTTTATAACATGTTTATAACCGTATCTGGGCTTATAACCGACGCTCTATGTTTATAACATGTTTATAACCATATCCGGGCTTATAATCAGTGGTACATCACAGTCCCTTCCAGGGCACAGCTCAAGCAATAGAAAAGTCACATAACTAGGTGCTGAATTTGGCAATTTGTCACAATACCCTCTGATGGTAAGTCCCCCCCAAAATTCACATCGCCTAAGTGAGGGGGGCAGAGATATGTCACAATGTCCCCTGGGGGCATGGGCCAGGAAAAGAAAAGAGAGTCACATAAGTTTAGAGCTGGTCCAAACTGTCTATCACAGTCGCCCCCACCCCATCAGCAGTGCTGAGGAGTGAGAGGAGAGTCATAGAAGGCAGGTGCTCGCTGGGTGACGTGGTAGCCCCAGCACTTTGGGAGGCAGAGGTGAGCAAATCAGCTGAGTCGAGAGTTAGAGACCAAGCTGACCACCATGGAGAAATCCCGTCTCTACCAAAAGCACAAAATTAGCCAGGTGTGGTGGCGGGAGCCTGTAATTCTAGCTAAGGGAGGCTGGAGGCAGGAGACCTGCTTGATTCTGGGAGGTGGAGGTTGTGGTGAGCTGAGATGGTGCCATTGCCCTCCAGCCTGGGCAATAAGAGCAAAACTCCATCTCAAAAAAAAAAAAAAAAAAAAGGTAGGTGCTGGGCGGAGCCATACGTCACAATCTCTGCTATGGACAGGTCCCAGAAAGAAGAGAAGAGTCATTATCTAGGTAATTGGCCCAGAGATATGTCACAACAACTCCTGTGGGCAGACTAGGCCACAGAGTCACATCACCTGTGTGCTGAGCCCAGGGAGAAGTCATTCTCTCTTCCATGGGAATTGCGCAGATAAGAACAGCAGGTCATATCACCTAGCTGCTGTGCCCGAGATAGGTCACAATCTTTCCATGAGCAATTCCCAAAAAAGAGAAGAGAGACCCATTAAATAGTTGATTGGCCCAGAGACATGTCACGATGCCCCTGTGGGCAGGTTTCAGGCAGGACACACATCACCTTGGTTTTGGGCTCAGCTACATGTCACAATGTCTTCCGAGGGCAGGACCAAGGCAAACCAGTAACATCACCTTGGTGCTGAGCACAGTGACATGTCACCATTTCTTTTGTGGGCAGAACCTAGAAAAAAGAGGAGACTCACATCAGCTGGATTCTGGGTGCAGCAATACGTCACAAGGCCCTCTGTGAGCAAAGACCAGGTAGAAGAAGAGAGTGTTATCACGGAGCGTTTTGCAGCCAGGGCCATGGCAAGAGAGTTGCATCAGCTGCGTGCAAGGCCCAGTGACACGTCACAACGCCCCCTGTGGGCAGTGCCAGAGCAGAACACATTCACATCACCTGTGTGCAAGGCCCAGTGACACATCACAACGCCCCCTGTGGGCAGTGCCAGAGCAGAACACACATCACCCGTGCAAGGCCCAGTGACACGTCACAACGCCCCCTGTGGGCAGTGCCAGAGCAGAAAACACTCACATCACCTGTGTGCAAGGCCCAGTGACACGTCACAACGCCCCCTGTGGGCAGTGCCAGAGCAGAAAACACATCACCCGTGCAAGGCCCAGTGACACGTCACAACGCCCCCTGTGGGCAGTGCCAGAGCAGAAAACACTCACATCACCTGTGTGCAAGGCCCAGTGACACGTCACAACGCCCCCTGTGGGCAGTGCCAGAGCAGAACACACATCACCCGTGCAAGGCCCAGTGACACGTCACAACGCCCCCTGTGGGCAGTGCCAGAGCAGAAAACACTCACATCACCTGTGTGCAAGGCCCAGTGACATGTCACAACGCCCCCTGTGGGCAGTGCCAGAGCAGAAAACACTCACATCACCAGTGCAAGGCCCAGTGACATGTCACAACGCCCACTGTGGGCAGTGCCAGAGCAGAAAACACTCACATCACCAGTGCAAGGCCCAGTGACACATCACAACGCCCACTATGGGCAGTGCCAGAGCAGAAAACACTCACATCACCAGTGCAAGGCCCAGTGACATGTCACAGCGCCCCCTGTGGGCAGTGCCAGAGCAGAACACATCACCCGTGCAAGGCCCAGTGACACGTCACAACGCCCACTGTGGGCAGTGCCAGAGCAGAACACACATCACCCGTGCAAGGCCCAGTGACACGTCACAACGCCCACTGTGGGCAGTGCCAGAGCAGAACACACATCACCCGTGCAAGGCCCAGTGACACGTCACAACGCCCCCTGTGGGCAGTGCCAGAGCAGAAAACACATCACCCGTGCAAGGCCCAGTGACACGTCACAACGCCCACTGTGGGCAGTGCCAGAGCAGAAAACACTCACATCACCTGCGTGCAAGGCCCAGTGACACGTCACAACGCCCCCTGTGGGCAGTGCCAGAGCAGAACACACATCACCCGTGCAAGGCCCAGTGACACGTCACAACGCCCCCTGTGGGCAGTGCCAGAGCAGAACACACATCACCCGTGCAAGGCCCAGTGACATGTCACAACGCCCACTGTGGGCAGTGCCAGAGCAGAAAACACATCACCCGTGCAAGGCCCAGTGACATGTCACAACGCCCCCTGTGGGCAGTGCCAGAGCAGAAAACACTCACATCACCTGCGTGCAAGGCCCAGTGACACGTCACAACGCCCACTGTGGGCAGTGCCAGAGCAGAAAACACATCACCCGTGCAAGGCCCAGTGACACATCACAACGCCCACTGTGGGCAGTGCCAGAGCAGAACACACATCACCCGTGCAAGGCCCAGTGACACGTCACAACGCCCACTGTGGGCAGTGCCAGAGCAGAAAACACATCACCCGTGCAAGGCCCAGTGACACATCACAACGCCCACTGTGGGCAGTGCCAGAGCAGAACACACATCACCCGTGCAAGGCCCAGTGACATGTCACAGCGCCCCCTGTGGGCAGTGCCAGAGCAGAACACACATCACCCGTGCAAGGCCCAGTGACACGTCACAGCGCCCCCTGTGGGCAGTGCCAGAGCAGAACACACATCACCCGTGCAAGGCCCAGTGACATGTCACAGCGCCCCCTGTGGGCAGTGCTGAGACCAAAGACGATCACATTTCCTAGGTGCCGGGTCCAGAAACATGGCACATTTTCAACTGTGGGCTGGGCCCAGGCAAGAGAGTCCAATCACGTAAGAGCTGGGCAGAGACTCATTTAACAATCACACCTGCAGGAAGGTGCAGGGATGATATTAACAAGCCCATACACGTCCCGGTTCTAGGTGTGAGTAACACCTCCTGTGTGTTGGGTTTACGCACATGAATCACCATCTCCGCAGTGGACTGGATCAGCGCAGGAGAATCTCAATCTTTTCTGCAGACTGTTTCACCCCGTCAGAGTCACAGCCTCATAGGTTTGCTGAATCTCAGCCTGAGAGTCACCAAAACACCTGTGGGCCTGATCCACCTGTGAGAGTCAGTTCTCCGGCTTTTGCCTGCCTGCAGGTGTGAGATTCGGAATCTCAACAGCGGGTGGTGTTCAAGAGAAAGGATGGCAATCTTCACCGACAGCGGGGTGTGCATACGAGCGTAGGGTCAATCCTCTCGGAGGGATTGAGCCAACATGCAGGAGATGTTGACACTCACACCTAGAACAGGGACGTGTGTGGGATCGTGATCTTGTCCCTGGACCTTCCTGCAAGTGTGATTGTAACATACACCTCTGCCTAGCAGCTGAGCGGTTCGACTCTGCTGCCTGGAGTGAACTCACAGATAAAATTGTGACATATTGCTAGACCCTGCACCTAGGTGATGTGACTCTATTCGCAGGCCTTGGCGCTGCCCACACGAGGAATCGCGACATGTGGCTGGGTCTTGCATCCATGTTACAGGAGTCTCTTCTTCTGCCTTGGTGCTGCGTACAGGGAGCATTATGACATATTGCTGGGCCCTGTGACGAGGATTTGTGGCTCTTCTGCCTGTGCCTTGCCCACGTGGGCCAACGAGACGTACTGCTGAGTCTAAACACTTACGTAATGCAACTCTCCTGCCTAGGCCCTGATGACGGGGGACATCGTGATATATTTGTGTACCCATCAACCAGGTTACACACATCTCTTCTCCTTCCTGGTTCCTGCTATTACAGGGGATTGTGGCTCTTCTCTTTTTAGGTTCTGTCTTCAGGGGAAACTGTGACATATCACCAGATCCAACGCTAACGTGACGTTTCTGTTTTCCTTTAGCTCTGACCTCAAAAGGCATTCAGTCGCTTAAACCCGGGAGGCGGAGGTTGCAGTGAGCCTAGATCGCGCCACTGCACTGCAGCCTTGGCACCTGGTGACAGAGCAAGACTCTGTCTCAAAAAAAAAAAAAAAAGGCATTCAGCCCTATTGCTGAGCCCAGCACCAAAATCCTATACCTGTTTTGACTGCAGACGCCTTGTGACATATCTCAAAGCCCATCAACTATCTGACGTGACTGTCTACTCTTCATTGCACTTTGCTTATGAAAGATGATTGTGACATATCTTTGTCTCTGGGTCTTGTCCTCCTGGACAACCTCTCCCCTCACAAGAAGATAGTGACTCATTGCTGACCTCAGCATACAGTGATGTGATTCTTCTGCCTGGTCCCTGGGTCCCTGCCCA